CGTAAGAGTTGGTAAGTTTAAAAAAATAATTAGCGCTTTAAAATGTTTATTAATTTTCTTTTTTTTTGGTTAGCGTATCTGATACAATAACAAAAATTACAAATAATTTACGAACACCACAAAGATTAGAAACGCATCATGAAACGCAACCAAAAGTTATGATTAATCCTATGCCACAATGTAATATGTTTGCCTATAAGCCAGATTTGAAAAAGAAGCCTAAACCAGGCATTTCAAGTGGTTCGATAATGAAATCAAATGTTCCACTGAAAGCAACTATACCAGTGAAAAAAGTTGCACCAATGCTAAAGCCTTCACCACCTGGTACCATGACTAATAGTAAACACAACTTAAACAGTTCCATACAATTTCTAAATAAACCTGGTAAACCATCACACACGAGTACGCCAATGTCTACAACTACTACTGCTTTAAATACTTCACCTCGGTATTTAGATAAACCGCGGTATTCATACCAACCAACTACACCAACAAGACTGTCAGCTGGTATAAGACGACAAACACTCGCCGAACCGAAGACTATAAAATCACCACTCAAACAACGCTCACCTATGAAAAGCAGATTCAGTACTGCTTTAGGTGGTGTCGAACCAAAAAGATCAGTTAGTATTTTAATTGAATTATATTCGTTCTTATATAAATTTTTTATTTAATTTTTTCGATTTTATATTTCAGACAGTTCGGTTAGGTGCCAGAGCTTCGGTTGGAGTTTCCGGTGTGCATAAACAAAAAGAGAATAAAAAACCATAAATGTTTTGGACTTTCTTAACATATATCATCTATATATTTTATCCTTATCCTTATCGTTTTTTGTGATTCTGTATTATATTTTTGTTGTAAGTTGTTGCAAACCAATACTTGCCACGTTGTTATATCTATAAAAAACTTTTTCATCGAATTTTTTATGTTACGTGTTACGTACTATATATTTTAAAATTTGTTCCCTCCATTTTTAGCATACGTACTTAAATTTTTTAATGTAATAATAAATTATTAAATATGTACTTAAATTTTAATAATATTTAATAAACGCATACATTTCGTCATATGTTAAATATTTATGGAATTTTTTTTATATATAGTTTTATAGTTTTTTATTTGATTTGTTTTTATTAATATTGTTTTTCTAATTGCGTTGTTGTTGTAAGCCGCTGGGACCTGCTTGTGAAGTCCCTTTGGCGGATGTTGAACGACACTTGGTCGTCGCTGGCGACGAGTGCCTCTGGGACGTAGACCCGACAGTTCTTGGTACCCGTTTTTAATTTAATCTTTTTTACTGATATTCCTATTTTTCGTTTATATGAACTTTTATCTACAATTATTTTTGCTTCTAATCTGCTTGATCCTCAATATGACCCCATAACGTCATATTAAATAATATATTTAACATATAGAGTTTGTAAAGGGATTTTAGGTACGTGGTCGGTTTGATAAATCAGTGACTTTTTAAATTTCCCGCGTAATTACTCCAAATGCAACAGTGCTGCCGTCAGCTGTAATCTACCAGTGGGCAACTTCTTAATTTTGAGCAAGCTACGTCATTCAGTTGATGTTTGATAGCCGTTCAAAGCAGACAACCTCGTGAATTTTTACGAAAATGGAAAAAAGTGAATTTCGTGTGCTGATTAAGCATTACAATCCCAAATCCACGAATTGAGATACGAACTGTTATCCCATTCAGCATATTCTCCAGATTTAGCCTCCTGTGACTATTTTCTGTTTTCAAACCTTAAGAAATGGCTGGGTGGTAAGAGATTTAAGTCGAATGAAGAAGTCATTACCGAAACAAACGCGCATTTTGAGAGCTTTGAGAAAACCTATTATTTGGAGGAAATAAGAAACTTAGAAAAACGCTGGACTAAATGTATCGAGCTAAAAGGTGATTATGAAAAGGTGAAAAATAAAATGTTTATTTGCCGAAAAAAATTTGTTTTACTCAAAAAATCACTGACTTATCAAACCGCCCGCGTATTTTTATTTTGGTTTCTATAATTCGAACTCATGGGAATGCCTATTTTCAGTCATTTAGAATTTTACAATGTTAAAAATTATTTTTTTTTTTATTTTTAATTCTCGTTTGTTTTTTAATAATATATTTTGAATGGTTCAAAATATATAATTTTTATTTAGATGTTTTATAATTTTATTTAATTTTTATAAAAATTATTTTATAAGTATTTCATATATTTTAGGATGTGATATAATTTCTTATGGATTAATTTTATTATGATTTTGAGTTTGTGCATTAATGTTAATAGCAAGAGAAAAGGTGCTAAAATAAATGGACATTTCGAATGCAACATGCGTAAGATAAATTTTAAGCAAAAGATAATGTTGAGATAACGAAAAAGTGACATTTTTTTAAAATAAATGTCAGTGAGAGTTAACTTTAATAAAATCGGGAAAATATTTTAAGAGTAGTGCAAATTTATAAATTTAATATATAGAAAAAAATGTTATTGTTATTAATTGAAATTAAAGTGAAAAATAATAAATCCATACCTGAAATTTCCCCTAAATCTAATAAAGCTAATTTTGCTGAAACGAAAATGAAATTAAGATTTTTGTGAAATTAAAATGTGTCTGAACATGGTACAAGTTTAGCAAATGAAAAAGATGAAGTAAGAGCTAGGAAGACCCTCAAAAACCTATAAAATTCAATACATCAACGAAAATAAAGTAAGACAAGGTTGGAATAAATAAATTGTTTATTAAGACCGTGTGCAAGTTCAAGTAAATTGAGGTAAAGTAAATTGAAAGTCTCTGGGGATTTTTTACACTGCACTTGTGTAAATATTTATTTATTGCACTTATTTATTACTTATTTATTGCACTTATTTATTATTTATTTATTTATTAAATATCTTATAAAGTTTTCACAATGGTTATACCTAATTTTTATATAATTTATACTACTCGAAATTTTGGTCAATAATAACATTCGTTGCCACATTCGTTGTAACCGACACGATTTACTATTTCCCTTAATTTACCATTAATTTACTCGAACTCGCACACGGCCATAAATTGTTATTAAAAATAATTTAATTTGCACATTTACTATTTCGCCCCTAACGGGTTAAGGCTCATTAATTGAGTGAACTATTGTGAATACACAGTATTTATGAATTCATAACAATGGAAGATATCATCGAAAGTGAAGTAAAAAATCTTGTAAGTTATTTTTTAAACAAAAAAAAACATAATATAGTTTAAGTAAAGTATGCAGCATTTATTGATAAACTAATTAAATTATAATTAACTTCAAAAACACAAAAACAATTTCAAGAAAATGAGTACAAGAGATTGGATCTCGGTGCAAAAAAGACTAAACAAATTAAACAAAATGTGCAATAACAACGATAAGACTAAAGTAAACAAAAGCAAATATAAACAAATTACTATAGAAAAAATGCTACAACAAAGTAATAAATATATTATATTAATTTAGCAATTCATTTAAGTGTTAACCAATGTTGCTTGGAAAAATCAATAAATTTTCAACAAATTGTCTTTTTTAGCAAATTGAATTTGAATGGGTAATGCGGGATGAAGTGCATTCGATACTTAAAAATCTACGTGAAATATTAGTGGTGAATAAAAAAACTTTTTATTATAAATAAATAATTATTAATGATTTATTTAATTTAAAGGAATGTGCAAAGCGTTTTCCAGTTCCATTGTATGAGAATGAAGGCAAACGTACTGAAAAGTTTGTGCTCTCAACACCACAGGATCAGCTCAAATGCTCTGTTACCTTAACCGGTGACAGCATAACGCAGGCGGTGAGCACAATTTATGCATATTTTTCCATTTCTAAATCTAATAAATATATTTTAATTTTTTAGGATATAAGTTTCAAATTGAAACGAGCTTCAAGTCAAGTACAACGTACTTCTATTTGTCCAGATCAACCATGGAAATTGCAACAAGTCCAAGATGCTGCAAATCATCTACAGCAAGCTATCAATCATATTGATAACGTGGACGAAAACTATATCTTTAAGTAAGTAATTATTAACTGAACTAAGCTAATAGCCGTTATATTAAGATTAAGAAAAATCAATTGAAATTTTTTCTTGCGATAATAGATGTAGATTAATTAATGTGCCATTAATTTTGGTCATTAATGATAATAATTTTTGAGAATATATTAAACACATTCAATATTATTTTACTGTAGATTTTACTTTTATTCTAAGTAGGACAGAACTAAGCTTGCTAATCGTCTAACGGGAATTGTTGATCGTCACTACCGTCTTGGCAACATGCATCCGTCTGGGGCGTTAGAATATTGTCTCTACCTGACAGTAAATGAAAGTTCTAATCCTATTTATTATGACTCTCTAACTTTAATTTGTGTTATAAGGAGAACACTACAACGGAAACTTCCATCCTCGACTGGTAAATTTGCTAATGTTTTGAAGAAGTTTATATGATTTCTTTCTCAGGGTAGGATGTTATAGTAGCAAATCCCAAAAGCATTTAATTAGAACTATTTATAGTAGAATAATACTGTAATTTAAAATAATAATTAGATTGAAATGTTGGAGTTACAGATAGTTCTTGCTAATGTACTTACTATGTTCTATCCTGTGCATGGTTCTATTGATACCTTTTCTTATATGGAGGCTCTCTAATGTTGGTAGCTTATTGTAAAACTTGTCAAAGTCCGATTAATATGTTGAACGTTGTCAAAGTCCGATTAATATGTTGATTCTTTAATGTGTGGACTAAAACTGTTCTTTGTCTACCTGCTATCAAATTATTCTGGAGCTCCTTTATGCGTTGTCATTATTTTATGTCATTATTTTTATTAGTTGCACCTTGTTCGTAAGTTTATAAGATCAGCTGAGATATCTGTGTGTTGAAAGTGGACCCGGTCCGGAACTACTTGAGTCGTCTGTTAATTTTTTTGTTTGTATTAGTATAATTATTAAAAAATTTAAATTAGAACAATTTGGTATATTATATATTCTAATTTGTTACAAAGTGCTTATGTAGCTTAAGTTATATGTGCAATATACATAAAATATATAAATATATATATATTTAATATATATATATATTCTAATAACATATTATTTTATATTATCAACTATATACAATGTTTATTTTATATAAAATATGTGTGATATAAAATATTTGATAACAATACATTGCAATCTCTTACAGATCATGCGAAGAAGTTCTGCAAATTGTAAGTGAACTAATAGGTGCTTTACAACGAGGTCGTACTAGTTTAATAATACCAAAGAAAAAAGCAATCGACGAGCTTATGAAAGGACGTAATATGGTAATAAATATCAACCTATTTCTTTTATTTAACTTTAAAATATTTATATATACTATTTGAAATTTTAGAAATCTCTTACGCCCAACTTACCAGAGGATATAGCAATATCATTTTTTTTACAATGTCATAAATTAATTATAGCTGTCTATCAATTGCTCAATATACAGGGAACAATGAAAATGGAAGCTACACAAGCCGAATGCTCAGTAGGTTGGTTAAATGAAGTTTTGGTGCTATTCACCGTTGGACTAACATTGTGTCAACAACTCAAGGATAAAATAAATGCATTTAAAATTGATAAGCCAAGTTAGTAATAAGGTTGTATATATATTATATACATAGAAAAACTTATTAATCATAACACTACTTTATTTATTTTAAAACAATTTAGCTAATGTTGTGTGAACTTTTAAATTATATATACCAAAAGTAAATATAGCAATAATTGTTTAATGACAATAACTTTTATGATGGCTTCAATGTTGAAAATAGCTACTATACGTGTTTTTATAAACAATAAATTGTTCATAACATTATAAAATTATTGCAATAAGTTGAGTTCATAATATAACAAGAAAAAAATAAATAAAATAGATTTTAATAGCACTAAATATATATGTACTTAATTGTGAAATATGTGCACGTGATCAATGAGTTAATTTATTATATTTATATAAAAGTAATTTTACCATATATATAAACTATATACCTAAAATAATTTATATATACTTTTTCTCGTACATAATTAAACCAAAATTTTTTTAAATTTATTGCTAAAAATTAAATTTGATGTGAACTTATATCAATTACTTGTTAATTGCCTTCGTAATATATTTTTTTAAAATTCATTGAATTAGGACTGTACTTAATAAATAATTTATTTAAACTGTATTATAACTTTAACTTATAACTTATTTTTTAGATTTTAAGTATAAAGTTGCAGTAGTTGTATTACTTAACAAAAATAAAAAAATTGTTCAAATTTATAATATAAACTGCAATTGTTGAAGATCAAGTTTACAACTAAACATATTTAAAATTGTTTTAAACATTAGCTTCATTGTTTTTTAATAAAAAGTGTATTAAGTCTGTAAATTATTTTTGTTCAGTTTGCTTTTCAGTATGCTCAACTGTGTAAGACAATTATCACGATAAGTACGACGTTCATTCAATTTATTCAAAGGAACCATGGCTTCACATTGTTTGGCAACTTCAACGGCAGTAGCACCTAAAAAAGAATAAGACATAGAAGAACTACGTTATATCAAAATAATATAGACTTCCAGACAATATTACCTTCCATTTTTGGAGTTGGACCCATTGTTTCACTAACCGCGTAAATAGTTTTTGAGTAACGTTCGAAATAGTTGGTCATACCTTCAGCATTTAAATGTGCTGTTTCTAATGGGCCAAGGAAAGCGTAACGCATTCCTAAGCCATCGGACATAACACTATCAATGTCTTTTACATCTAAAATGCCTGCCTCCACCAAACGCCAAGTTTCATTTAAAATTGCATATTGTATGCGATTTAATGCGAAACCTTCTATTTCACGACTTAAGGTTACTGGTTTCTGTCCGATTTCTTCCATTAGTGCACGTGTTTTTTTAACTGCTTCGGGCTTTGTCCATGGAGCTGGTACAATTTCAACGAGAGGTACATAGTAGGGTGGATTTACTGGATGTGATACCAGTATCTGTAGAGAGAGAGTATCTGCTCAGTGATTATGTCAACAAAATAACGCTCGATTACGAACACAAATGTATATTTTTGAAAAAGAGTCAGCACTACGCAAATTTTAATAGTTTTTCATACTAATAATTAGTTTAATACTATAAACTTAAAAGATATTATTTAAACTTAAACCATCATGGAAGTTGAACTACAATTAAAATACACATTAAGTCCAAACATATTTATACTTGACAAATAATTATTAATTAAGTGTTTATATCTGGTTCTCAACTAGACTTGAACAGTTCTTGCTGCTCGTGGGGGACGTCCTTCCTTCCTTTCTTCTCATATATTATAGATATTAAGAACCTTGTTGTGATACGAATATGGACTCAAATGGATATTGCCTAAGAGACAGAAAGCCTTTCACTATACTCGACCTAAATGGTGTTGTCTATGTTTCGGTAAGGTAGGTATCATGTATTCCTGATACAAGTAAATGAATTAATGTATGCAACGACATCCCTCTCCGTTTGCGAAATTTCTTCGACAATGACTACTGTTAGTCCTGTTATTAAAAAAAAGGTCTTAGGTAACAGATTTTTAGTATTAAAATTAAAATCAAAACAAAAACCGTTTTCGCACGTTTACAAATATATTGTAAAACAGTTTAGATTATTATTGTAAGCTATTAAAAAGTCTTAAGTATATAGGCGACTGCACCACAAATTAAAAATTTTGTATTGGAAGTAGTATTAGACAATTAATTACACTTTTAATTATATATTAAATATTAAATAATAAAATATATGATATTAATAAAAATTAAATATTAAAAAATATATGATAATTGTTGGCTAATGTTCATTAATTTTTCAACTAATTAATTCTAAATAGATATAGAAAATAAATACCGAAGTCGATCTTGGCTACTATATGAGTGAACTTGTAAATTTTTTATGTTTCCTAATTTATAGGTTTTCGAGATTTACAATAATAACAGACACAAACTAACAACGATTATTTTGTAAAATAGTCCCTAAAAGCTTCACATAACTGAAATATATTATAAAAAAGTGAAATCCAAATAATTGTAATATATTTATACAAATTTATATTGTATATAAAAATGTATAACGAAAAATAAGTTATAAGGAAATAGAAAACTAATTAAATTTTTTGAATTAATTAAATAAGACCTACATACGCATTCAAATAGTTTTGTTGTTAATTTAGAAGTTTTTATAATTGTTAATAAATTATAATTCATCAAAAATGATTTCTTACCCAACACTTGCAAACGGGAAAATAATTAAGTAAAGGCAATAAATTAACATAACATAACAATTGTAATAACAGTATAACAGTTATTAAAGCTTATAACAGTACTTTTTTTATACGAAAATCGATCATTTTTTGTTGACATATAAAGATATATAATTACTACAATATATATAAAATAATTAATATAAATTTTGAATTATATTATTATTGAATTTATGAAAAATTGGAAAGAAAATTCTGACACTTTAAATAATATTAAATTAATTAAAATAAATATATTAATATAAACATAAATTAGATTAATTAATCAGATTAATATTAATTTGAATATATTAATATCAATATAAATATATTAATATTAAGTAAGTAATAATAAATATAATAAGTATGTAATATAAGTAGTATAATAAATATATTAAGTTAAGTAATATAAATATATTAATATTAATTTATATATTAATAACAATATAAATATATTAATATTAATATCGATATAAATATATAAATATTAATATTAGTTCAAATATATTAATAACAATATAAATATATTAATATTAATGTAAATAGATATATTAATATTAATATAAATATATTAAAATCAATATAAATATATTAATATTAATTTAAATATATTAATATCAACATAAATACATATATTAATATCAATATAAACATATTAGTATTAATATAAATATACTAATATTAATATGAATATAATAATATCAATATAAAATATTAATATTAATATATTATATAAATATATTAATATCAATATAAATAAATATAAATATATTAATATAAATATTTTAACATCAATATAAATATATTAATATAATATAATATGAATATATTCCATTACGTTCTGTTCAATGTTAAATTAGTTTTGTGTACCACATATAATTGTATAACAGTTATTATTAATGCGTATAACAATTAAATTTTGTGTGTGAATATCGATCAAATTTGTAATTTATAGATATGTATATAATTTCTGCAAAATATATGAAAAAATAATAATAAATTTTGATTGTTATTGATTTAAGAAAATATATAGAAAAAAGTGTTCTAACACTTTAAATAGTTACGAAAGATTAAATTAGTTTCTTGTTTATTTTGGTTGTTATTGTTCAAATAACACTTTAGTTATCAAGAGTTAAGAGTAAAAGATAAAAGTTAAATTTAATCAAAATAAATAAAACGAAACGAATTGATAAAATTCGTAACTATGCGGCAGTTAATTAAAAATGGAGCAAAAGTAAAAAAATATTTTTAATATATGAAGTTTGAAAATTTATTTATAAAAAAGAGGTAAATAATTTCAATCTCTGATGCGATAACAGTTGCAACAAGTGCATTTAGTATCAATGCTTGAAAAAAGATTTAACATTTCTTATCAAGCCTTTAGTGTAAATATTATAATCAACTGAAAATCATTTGTAGAGTAGAGTAAAAAATAATGGAATGTTATTAAAAGCAGCGAATATAAATGTACTGATTGAATTAAACAGGTCAAATCAAGGTCGTAATCACATTTTAAACTATTAGCAAACAAATCAATAACAGTTTGTAATGAACTCGATCTAATATTCATTTTCATAACAACATAATGATACATATGTATATATATACTTACATTCTCTTTGTGTTTTAAATCTTTGCTGAATAGTGAAGGTAGAAATGTGCTTGTGGAGCTAGAAAGTATAGTCTGATTGTCCACAATGGTGTCCAGCTGTTTATATAGAGATTGTTTCATATCTAGACGTTCGGGTATGCATTCCTGTATGAACATAGCACCTTTCACTAGTTCTTTAATATCAGTTGTGCCCGAAATGCATGCTATCTGTTCTGCAGCATTCAACTTGCCCCGCAGTAGACCTTTAGCTTCTAAATTATTTAACTCTTTTTGAGTTTCCTTCAAAGCAGTTTGGATTTGTTCTGGCAATATATCGTACAGCATCACTTGGTAGCCCACTGATGCAAACAGCATGGACCAAGAACGGCCAATTAAACCACTAGTAATATAATAAAATAATAATATTATTAAATACAATTTATTTCATATTAATAAAATAATTAATTTTAAAAATTTTATAGTATATTAGCTGCATCCTACCTGCCCACAATTCCCACTTTCTCTTTTTGCATTTTACTTGCCATGGTTTTTTGTCGTTTTTGTTTTGGTGGACTTATTTTAACAAATCACTGAATAAAACCGCTGAATTAATAAAAGTCACTTGCCGCTTCCAACCGGTCCCGCGATAGTGGCTGAACGCTTGTGAATCAAAATATCGCATGCGGAATGGTTTTAATACCTGCTGAAAGCAACAACAAATTGCTTAAAAAGGTGAGCGCACCTCTCAGTGAAGTCTGAGGAAAAAACATTTTTGTGTGCTCTACATGAAGAAATGCTACTATTTAGGCAGGTAAACTTGTTTCAACACATTTCCTCGAATGTATCTATGCATACCTACATAGAAATGAATATTTATAAACTTATTAATTATTTAAGATAAAAGTGAAGTAACTATTTATTTTCTTTAAATGGGTACTTGAATTACTTTATTTTTTTATTATATACATTTATCATAGTTTGATAAATACAAAGTTTGAAGTTAATAATATATAAATAAATAGTATATAAAATAGGAAAGACAGACAACTTAATAGTTATTGTCTTAAATAATCTATAGTTCTCAAGTTACAGATTCGTAAAATGAAAAAATAATATGTTATATATGTATATAACATATATGTTATATTTTAATAATTGTAAATAAATAATCTTACTACTTATTATATAAATACGACTGAGAATGACATCCTCAGGGAGCTCAAGGAATTAAACTGATCAAAAAACATCATTTAATAACATAAAGGATAGAGTCCTGAAATTATTTACGAGAACTGACAGGCTTACTAACACCGCGTTATCAAATCACAGAATGGTCAGGTATTTCTTAGTCTGATAAAGTGATAAACAATAAATCCAGTCAAGGCGTATAGAGGGGTTATGAAGAAACCTCGCAGTTAATAGAGAGTAAAAGTGCTCAAGTGCACTTACTAAACTAGCCTCAACATACTAATAATTAATAAATAGACTTACTTACTATATAAATACGACCGAGAATTTCATACTGCTTACTATAAAAAAGAATAAATTAATATAAATAAGTAATAAAAAGTCCACATGTTGAAATCAAATATTAATGGAAGTGTCGCTATAGTAATCAATTTATTCCACATATATGTAAATTCCAAATGTCAATTAACGAAAGTAAAACAGCATTAACCGAAATTGAACATATTTATTTTTGATACAAAAAAAAAGTTGTAACATTTAAAATTTTTCCTCTTATTTTGGACCTATATATTTTCAAAGATAATGTTTACTCATTTTTGGTGTAACTCTGGAAATTTGTTATTAGGAATAGTCATCGTTTGAGACAACTATAACTCAAAAGGAAATTTTTGCAAAAATCGGAAAAACTAAAAAATAATAGAGATCAACGTTGACAGTACCAAAACTTCACAGTAAACATCTTTAAATGTCCTACGAATTGTTTCTTTCATTAGATGTAAAAATTTGTATAAAAACCTTGTATGTAAGTGTTTTAAGTATTCGTTATGACTTATTTTTTTGTTATTAACTCTGAACTCTATCAGAGAACATAGAACATAGGTAGCTTTAAAAGTAATGAATGTAGATATGCCTGTAGGAAATTTTTTCAGTTATTTTAACAGTCAAACTTACTGAATCGTTTGTTTTGAAACAAAACTTCTTAAAACAATATTATTCAGATTTTTGATTACTTTGAATTCTATAAAACATAAATTTTTTAAAACAATAAATATAATAAATCAACATTAAATAAAAAACAACAATAATGTTAAAGTGAAAGTATTCATTTTAGACGGTGATATCGTCATTAATCTGTTAAATATGTTAACATCTTTTTCTAATGATTGCTGAAACTATGACGGAAGTAATGAGTGATACTTGATATTCAATGTTGGCAAGTGACTCTGAGGTGTGAAACCGTACACTCTTAAAGCATTGAGACAGTGTTCATTTATAATGGTGACTCTGAGGTGTGAATCCGTCCACTGTTAGAACATTAATGGTTACTTTGAGGATACTTTGTTCTTGTTGATTACCCTTTTTTCCTTTTTGGTGTTCCTTGGCGGTACATTAAGGAGTAATTAGTCGATAGGTACCGTAAGAACTTATGTGTATTTCATATGTATATTTTGTTTTCGCTTAAGTTCTTACGGCTTAAATAATGCTTATGTCATCAACTTTGCTGTCTTAATATTTTTAACGATTTCGAGACTTAATTTATTGCTGCTACTTAGCACTTTGGCTGTTGTTTATTTTAATGTATATTATAATATATAAGGCAAGCTTTGTACTGACTGCAATTGCTGGTGATGTAATAGTTTACTTTGAAACTGATATCATCAAATTAAAATTAACTAAATTTATTTATTTAAAACACAAAAATAATCACAATAATTTAAGTCCACTTTGAATTAGAATATTTACGATGTCTGGATGTATTACATCAGTAAATTATGAAGATTAATTTTTATTATTATATCTCTACGGACTATTATAACTATTTGTGTCATTACGTGTTTCCACTTCAACTATATTCAGAGAAGTCCTAATCTTTTCTAGGTCGGTATTGAATGAATATAATTCGTGAATCAATTTTTGTGGAAAACTCTATTACTATGATGTAGTAGGGAATATGTACGGATCTTTCTATGTCTTTCAAACATAGTCTTCATATAAGGTTTCTGATACTTTTAATCATGTTTTATGTTTGTTAAAAAGGCAGTGACCAGTTCTAATTCCAAACATTGTTTTTAGATCCGATCTGTTTAGAATAAATAGATATGAATTTTTTTTCTTAGCGTATTTTAAAAAGTGCTTGATGCAGCGGAACTTCCTCTTACAATATTTGCAATTGAAGATACTGCTGTAGTTCAGTTCAGTTATATTTTTAAAGTAGGTTTTGCTGACACCTAGAATTGTCTCTGGGACATATGGTTGTCTTGAGGTAACTGTCTGTCTGTCACCTTATTCCTTGAAAAATAGCCACATTATGAATAAAAAATTTTAATATATTCATATGGACAATCATTTTACTTTGTTTTTAAAATATACAACAATTTTTGTATATGTATCTTAGAATAGTCTTGTTCTGGAAAATTTTGAATAGTTGTAAATTTAATTTAAAATATTGTAGGTTTATTAAATATACGTAACTTCAAACAAATATGTACATATAATTTTTTATTGTGAGTGAAGCTTTTTATTTGTATTATTTTCATTTATAAAACTAAATCTTAATCCTTATATAAACTACTTACTACTCTGCAATCTATTATTATTATGAACAATCTATTTCTGTTCTAATTTTTAAGACAGATAAACAAAAACTTTCTCGGCACGCCTCTAAAAACAAACAAAAGCTCGGGTAAGAAATGTTGGTATGTATATATGCATATGTTTTAAGATATATAGATATAGATATAGGGTCTATATAAGAATATAATCACAGACATATTTATATATGTACATATGTGTTTTTGATGTGAATTATATTTCTGGGGAATTTTTTCATTTATCAAAATGTTGTATTTTATTTTTTTTATTATTCGTTAATTAACAAAATCCTCTTGTCGCCACAGCTAAGTAGGGTTGTGATATTTTTTATGGACCGTCTTTCTTTCTCACTTATCTTAATGTGTAAAAAGATACTGTTACTTTCGAAATTTTATAACGCGTTGAACTTTTAAAAGGTGAAGCAGTAAATGATTTTTGGTAATGATTAGAGTTTGGAGTTTTTAAATAGAAAAATCTAAAAGTTAGTCTATAAGAAACTCATTATTAGCAGACCAATTTCTCTCGTTACCACAAAAGTTAGAAGAATATTCTCAGTTTGTATACTAAGATTTAATTCTTTCTTATGAAGTTTTAAGGACTGTTAACATAAAACGTGTCTTATCTAAATGTATATTAAATGTATAGTAGTCTAACATCGGGCTGTTCAAAGCACGGTCCGAAATGTTTTCAATCTACCACAATTATTTAAATTTTCTTTTGGTGTACTGGTAAAACTACATTATTTTATTTTTATAGTATACCAAATAAATTAAATTAAATTAATAAATTCATAAAACTAAATTTAAACATTTAACCGAATTTTTATTTTTGTCGAAAGAAACTATGAACGTGTGTATTTGTTTCTGCGGCCCCCCAATTTATATAGTGATACACATAGAACGACTCAGAGATAAATAGTAGAGTAACAGCTTTTTTTCTAACTATGGTATATCATTCACCAGTGACTTTATTATTTAAATTTAGTTTTTTAAGGTTTTGGTAAAATCCAGGTCAATCATATTGAATTTTGATCAGAACTGCACTTTGTGACTCAATCGTAGTCTGATTTTTAATAATGTTGGTATATTTTTAATATTTTTATAGATCCAACCATTGAAGTTTTTTTTTTTACCCTTCCGTCTCATTGAATTTACAAGTTTCTTAAACCAGACAATAAACTAAAATTTATACTATTTGCGCTCCAACTCTTTTTATAAGGAACTATTCCATATGAGTGACAGGTTTCTTAAGACTTGTCTCCTTTTGTAAGGAACTATCACATTTGAGTAACAACTTTTTTAATACTTGTCTCTTTTTATAAGGAACTATCCCATTTGAGAACAAGTTTCTTAATACTAGACTGTGATTAACGTACTCCTTGTAAAGAATCATCTAATTGGACTGTGAAATTTCTTTATTTCTTTATATTTCATTATTGAAATAATTTAATAATAATATAAATTGACACTAATTCTATATATTGTATCTATATTATATATGTATATTTAATCTAACGTAATTAACGGTATATGTTATTATACTAACGACTAATCAAATATCTACTTCTATTAAAACTTCTGCTAGTTAGTTATATTAATAAATTTGCAATTGTGTATTTTTTAATTTTTTATTTATTTTTTAATTTTCATAAATTTTACTTAAAAATAGTGTCTTTATTAAAACAGCTTGTTCATAATTGACAATAAATAAATTTTTCTTCTATAATATCACATTCACCATATATCACATATATAAAATCATTCACCAACATTCATAACTCTTATTATAGTCGTATATATAATTACTAATACATTTATAAAATATATAATCATTTAACTAGTAAATTTGATGTAAAATATCATTTGTTTGTTTCCAGTTTTAAGAACACTAATCTCTATTTTTAAGCACTTTCAAGACTTTGCTTGACTGGCTCATCAAGGCTTGCTCTTGGTATAAGTAGAGAGAGGAAGGCACAACAATATAGGGCAACACAGCCAATATAGAAGGTCAATTCGCAATGAGTACCTAGTAATGCTCCAACAATATTAGCACCAACAACGCTGCCCAAACGACCAACCATTAGAGAGATGCATATAGCCATAGCACTGTAAGATTAATTTATATGAAATTAGTATAAATTATTTATAATAATTGAATTTTAATTATAAACAGATATAATTAATTATAAGTAATTAAAAATTTAAGTTATTTAATCTTACTTACCGTAAATTTGTTGGGTACAGTTCTACTGTTGTCGCACCAAGTACATTGATAGCTACACCTACTAAAAACAGTAAGACGTACAGGTAAGCTGTTATTGATGGATCTACAGTGAAAACTGCTGCCAAGCCACATGAACTGAAGAAGATCATTATAATAACTAAAATACAAAAAAAAAATATTACGAAAATTATAGATTATATATAAAAGTATATAGTTGTTGTAGTAGAACTCACATAACACAGTTACTTTGCTAACACGATTAATAATTAAGCCAATGAATGCAAATGAGGATGCATATAATATTTCCATAACTAAAGAGTAGAAATAAGTGTTGTCCTCCAATTTTGTTATGCACTCCATGGACTGCAAATATGTTTAATATATATTAATTATTTATTTATTATATATTCAGTTTATTTTTGCACTTACACCATCAGTCTTATAAAGTGATTCATGTTTATCATACACGATTTCACAGATTTTCTTATGTTGTCCTGGGTTTTCATTCATGAATTCAGCCATGCTGTTGATGATGTGTGGGAACCACATATATAAACCATTCGTTATCACATAGAGCCAAAATTGTACTGTGCAAACAATAAGTGTAGTGCGTAAATACTTTTTGTGAAAGAGTGGCACAGTTTGGTCCCACATGGTCTGCAAGAATGCAATGAACATTTTTGAGTTCTGGGAAGTTGACATTTTCGCTGGCGAATGATTCAAGTCTTCCTCAGGTACAATACGCTTAATCTATAAAAATATTTGATTAGAAAATTATTGAAACAAATAATTAAAATTATATTTAACAGAATTGTAAGATATAAGATGGAGCACAAGATTATAATGTTTGACTTTTACCTGTAACTGTTCTCGGCTACCATTCCAACGTAACATTTTCTGTAGTACTTCAATTGTTTCAGTTTGTTGACCAATTGAAAGCAAAAACTTTGGACTCTCAGGTAAAGCATAAAGTGAAATTCCACATAGAAAACCTGGTATGCCACACACAATCAGAAAGAAACGCCAAGGTTTGTAATCAATGCCCAAAAATGGCAAAGGTAATATCCAGTCTTGATTGATAACGAGAAAAGCGATCAAAGGTAAGATCATAGCACCTATAAGTAAATAAGGTTGATTTACAAATATTACATTTACAAATATTTTTATTATAATGTTTATTATTGTTTTATTATAAATTATATATTAAACAATATAGTGTATAAATTATTACCAAGGGCAAATATAAATGAGGAGCCCATCATGGCACGAGAGCGTGTTTTGTCGGTGTGAAATTCACCCAAATAAGCGTATATGGTTGCTGAACCGCCAGAAACACTAAAATAAAAATTAAATTTATTTATTACAAATCAAATTATTATTTTTTATTTATATTTATTAATAACAAATAATTTCACAATTAGAATTATTTGAACCTAATATAAATATTTTAACTTTTAAGTATTTAATTTTTTTTATTTATAATTTATAGACAATAATTATTAATTTTCCATAAAGTTATTATTTAAATTTATTTATTATATATATTATTTTTTAAAATACTTACAAGAAACCATTAATGAATCTCAACAACACCATCATCCAGAATTTATGTGAAAAACTAGAAAATACGGTAACTACAAAGCCGGCTAACAAAGTGGGTCTAATCACTTTCCTGCGTCCTTTTGTATCGGCTAGAAATCCCCACAGATGTGAACTGACGATAATGCCCGCAAATCCAATGGCACTCAATATGCCCTTATCTTGATTTGTCAACTGTAGATCGCATTGTGCAATTGGCAGTATAAATCCAATGGCTGCAGTTTCCAATAATACATTGGCTAAGACCATGCCAGAGATGAATATAAGAAAATAATTGAATTTTCCAAATTCTAAAATGAAAGTGAAATTTTTTAATTTTTATTTAATAATCTTTTTAATTCTTTATTATTTATGATATTTACTCACTGGTTAGTGTTAATGCTTCCGTAAATAAAATTCCATCTTGTCTGTTGTTGTTGTCATTTTTCTTTATGGGTTCCTGACGTATGACGGCGAGCACTAAAATTATATTATATGTAAATATTTCAGCGTAAGTACGTAGTTTATTTATTAAATACACTTTTATGATTATTTAATTAGTAGATAAAAGGTTTATTAACTTTTTGTATATTTTCTTACACATTATATATATTTATAGGAAATAGCAAAGACCCCATGGAAACTATGAAACTATGTCAGTAGAGTGTCAGTAGAAGTGCTTAAAAACCGATATTTAAGGCAATAAAAGTTTTATAATGCAGTTAGAGCCCAATGGCAATAATGTAATGGATGGATATTATTCTAGAAGCACTGTTCTACTACAAACTTCAACTGAAAGTATAAACTATATTATTCATATGTACAAGTTTTTAAAAATTGAGATTCATTAAAATTACATGTAATAAAAACATATATATATGTATATGTATACTCCAAACAATAATTTTTTACTATATTTCACAAATAAAATTAATTTTAATACCAAGCAAAATATAATGTATATATAAAATATTACTGTTTTTCGATAAACATGATCATTTAACTTGATATTTTGATTTTATTTTAATAGAAAAATATATTACGTTTGATTAAAAAATTAAAAATGGTTGTTGAGATACTTTATTGAATTATAAACTTTAATAAATTAATTTTTTAAGATTCATTCTCATATATGAAGAGTATGATTTTTGTTACTAAATAATAAAAAATATTATTAATAATATTATGGTTAAATTATTGTTGTATTTGCATTAGATCTTCACACCAACTGCTGTCATATTCTGACAAGAATTCATTTTATTAGTTTTGAATAATTTTTTGTCAATTTTGATTTTTATAATCATTTTCACTTTAATATTTCATTTATTTATTATTGATTAAGTTACTTAAATTGTTAACAATAATTTCACTTAAATAGAAATTTTCACTTGTTAAATAAATGTTTTGAGTTAAAGCATCTTAAAATTAACAAAAGAATATTATATTAAGCTCAAACCCCATCTCTAGGTTTATTCATATTCTTCAGTATCCTCTGCTTAAAAGATATGGAAAAACAATGAACGGATTTCACATAATTAATTGTTAATTAATAATCTCCTACTACCGCACTACAATAGATGAAAGGTATTCAACTATTCAATTATAAAGTACGGGAAGCAAATTCGTATATATAATAAATAAAATAAAAATATATAAAATTTTGAAAAATTTCTGTTAATTATATTAAAAAGCTTTTAATAATATTACTTATTTGATAATAATAATAATGAAGTAATAAACCCTTGATATAAACTTCAATTCTAAGCATCATAAACTTATATATAAAAATAAAAAAATTAATATATAAATATATTATATTTTTAATATAAGCAAAATAGATTATAAAGAAATTAGTATTGCATATTGAAAAACTAATTTATTAAAAAAAAAAAACAAAAAACACATCCTTTAACATTTTAAAACTTCACAATTAACTTCAGTAAGATTCCACTTCATACAAAATTTCCTTACCCATTTTGTTAGTAAATATGAAGTAATAGTTTATTAAATGATGAAGTAATATTATTATTATTTTGTAACAACTGAATGTCAGTAACTTAGTAACTAATTTTTTCAAAGGTTGAGAGCAACTATTTAAATCTTTTTCGTAGCTACATCTTCTGATGTTATCTCTATGGCTGATATAAAAAGCTGACATTTTTACAATTATTTAGAAATCCTAAGATAAATTAAATTTTATTGCAGTGATACGTACTTTCAGTCTCTTAATTTAGTCACTTGGGTATCATAGAATAGAGGGTGTCAGATGGGATTTTTTATTATCAGAAACAAAATAAGATAATTTATCTAACGTAACTTGCATCGCCAGTTCCAAATTATGAGCTCCTATTTTTAAAGATACTTTAAAGCATATATATATATTTAAAGTAGCTTACATATTAAAATATTTATAGACAAAATTTTTTTTTTGATTAATAGAAGAAAACACCTCATAAAATATTAATAATACCAAAATAGTTAATCTTTATTTTTATTTCAACATAAATGACGTTACTACATTTATATAACTTTCATTGGTAAACTATTCAAAAATGTTAGGTGAGGTTATGAAATTTGGATTCACTATTTATTTATTTACGAACCGGATTTCACTAGCGATTTGACAATTTAGTCATTCATCAACATATTTTGAAATGAGGATGGTTTAGCAAGAGCTGATAAAGCATTCTACCGGTTATATGAAGTTTGCATCAGAAAATAAATGATGAAATCAGTACTTGATAAGTAGTTTAGTTATTATTAATTAGAATTTTTAAAATTTTAAATTCTGTTTCTATCATTACAATATTTTAGCCATTAATTTTAGGACAATTAATTCTTTTATTGATAATAATTAACAGAAAAGCTTTGAGTCCCTTACCGAATGGTTCTTGCATCAAGCAAGGAAAATAGTTGGCTTTATGTCATTATCATCAAATAAAACCTCATCTACGTTTGTTATTACATCAAATCTAACAATTATTTCTAACTGATAGCATCAATAAAATGTTGAATAGCGTACGTTACATCATTCGAATTGATCGGATCATTATCGGATTTGTAAATAATTTGTACCGTTAAAATATCACTTCGATAAATGTAAACCAATCCTCTCATTCAAAATCTAATGTTTTCTGAAGTATTATTGTTAGGGGATGTGCCACTATATCTATAGCGGACAGATATACATATATCAGATATACATTTAAAGAAGTAGTAGTCTATAGCGGACATATGCGGTTTTATCCACTGCAGAGATATGATAAATCAAATGAGCCAAGTTTTCATTTTGGACCACTAATCCACAATTTCGATATTAGTTATAACAAACAGTCCAATGTCGGTTAGCATGTTTACCTATTCGACAGGATTCTTTAAGTACAAATAATATATTGAAAAGAGACTAGCAATCAAAAAAATTAGTTACTCTTTTCTCAACTAAGTATAGGTTAGCATTGTCATATACTTATTACGTAACATAATATTAGTATTATATATGCTACTATAAGCAAAATCACAACAACAACTTAGCTTCCATTCAAATGACAAAGGGAAGATTTGACAATATTAATTCCGTTATTTTTTTAACATAAAAAAGGCGTTCAATTTCAATTTTTTAATAACATTTAAAAAAATTTTTCATTTCAGAATGGTTAATTTGTCTAAGTATAGGTTAGGTTCGATATAATAACAATAAATTCCACACCTACGGGTTCATCTTGCACCTCGGATCCTCGTTATTAGTTGGTAGACACCCGTAGTGGTTCAATATTGCATTTTTTTAATGCTACTATGATGCTTTGATCTTAGAGTTACCAGTATTACTTATTTTCTTCGAGCACTTTATGAGGCTGCTGATATCACTTACTGAAATGTCTATGTGTGCTTCAAAGCAGGGTTTTTCTGAATTTGCAACTCATTCAATTTCTAAGGGCAAACATCTATAAAAAAACTGAGAGTTTGAAATTGCTTCTTCCTCCCAGATAGATTATCAGTTAAAATTCCTGTTCGCTGTAGTTGCTAACGTATTAAACAATACGCTATTACAATAAAGGTAAATTAAAGTCATTTAAAAAAAAAATTTAAGTCTAATAGTTTATATTGAAAAGCATAATTGACAGTATATTTCAAGAAATATTAGAATTATAGTGCCTTTCTACGAGTTCGACACGACCAACGCATCTGAATGAATCACGAGCTTAACATCCAGTGACTTCGTTAATTTGGTCCTATCGTGAGAATAGATAAAAGGTCTTTGAAGCGATAGTAAAAGGAAGAAGGCGTAGAAGTAGACCGTGTAACCGGTAACGTGATTAAATTGAACGACCACTAAATGGACTTGATGTACGAGATTACAGAAGGGGCCCATGCAACAGAGGCGCCTAGAGAGACAGGCCGAAAAATAAATAATTTAATAATATTAACCGATTTACATATTGCTACATCAATCTGAGATGCAAGTGCTTTACAATATTTATTATTGTGAAATCTATCTATAATTATGTCAAACAATATACATGAATATCTGCAAACCGGAAATATTCATAGCATAAACATAATTTTGAAGCCATAAAATGCTTACCAATTAACTTACGAAATGTTACGTATACGTTACGTGGTCTTTTTGCAGTAAATTTTTCTATATGTTGGGACAATGTATTAGGTTAATATCTCTATATTTTGCAAATTTATTTAATTTTTCGATTTTAATTATTGTCATTATAACGCAAGTCATGTGGAACTATTTCAATCAAAAGTTTTTTTATATTGCATGTATACGTACGTATATGTATATCTATATATAGATAAAAATATTGTAATACGTACATTGTTCAAAATATCTTTTTTTTTGACTATAAAAGAAACTTTTATGTAATGATGCAATCCAAAAAAAAATAATAAATTTTATAGAAATAAGCAATATTTATTACCAAAAAAAAAATTAAAATAAACTATATTTTTTTACGTTGTCACCTTTTAACATTGATTTAAAGTTTTTCAAAATTGTGAAATTATTTCGTACAAATTATAAAATATAAAAACTTACTTAATACGCATAATGAAAACGTTTCGATCAACACAAAAAAATCAATAACAAAATAAAAAATAAAAAAAATTGGATTAAACCAAATAAATTAAATAAATTTCTTTCTTAGCAACGCAAAATCATGACCAATGTACACTACAAAAAATCATAAACAAACATTATTCGTTGTTTGTTATTATCAAGTTTTGGCAATATTTTGTTGTAAACGCAAGGCCAGTCAGCAGCACGTGTTAGATTTTTGCTCTTCCATTGGATAGATTGCCGTTAGAAGTTCTAGAGAGCTGAATATAGAGAGGGAGAGAGACAAAGTGAGAGAGAATGCGAGTGACTGAAAGAAAGTATAGGCGAGTAATATATTAATATACAACTAATAACAATCATTATTAGAAAAGTGGTACGATTGGGACGAAGCTCGCATGTAAACAAAAGTCTG